TATTTAAAGGTTTTTTACCTATGAAATACTTGATAAAAGGTGTCATTGGCAAACTTTAAAATAAATAATTATTTCAAAATAACCCTATAATAAAATAATTTCTGTAAGATTATGGTGCAATTTAGTTCCATCCCTAGGACAGTAGCATTAATGGCAAAAATATGTAAAATTCTTTTTAACTAAAGAATAGTGATGAAAAAAAAACGAGAAATAGAGCATTCTTAAAAAAGAAAATATATTAGCGAGCAATTTATTCCTTAAAGACTTCCTATGTTTTGATACATAATGTTGCAAGTTTTTTTTTTTGAACACCTATTCATAGGTATGTAGTAGAATATTTAAAGAAAAAAAAATATTCACGGGATATCTTAAGGAAAAAGAAAAGCAATTAACTTGCCAAAAACATTTCAATATTTTAAGAGATAATTTTAAAATATGTAACAATCCATATAAGTTTCAACTATATCTCCCAGAAAATTAAATAAACTGTCAGCTATGCAAAATAAAATATGGCAAGATTCTTAAAGTGTTTTGGTATAAAATTGATTATGATATTTGTACAATACATACCCTAATTATGTAGATGTAAAAAGGTATAAAGGTTACTGGGCAAGAAGACAAAACTTCCTACATATTACATAACTTAATGACATAAATTTTATTATTTTAATGACTTACTTACGTAATTGAACAAACTACAACAAATATTACAGTACATGAAAGAAAAATTATGTACCTTTAAAATAAAATGTAACAGGTACAATAATCGAGATCAAATTAGTAATTAAATTAGATGAAAGACAGCAAAATGATGTATGGAAAAAAGGCATTAAACAGGAATAAAAAATATTAAATACACAATGCTTGGTTTTTATATTTAAAAAAAAAACAATAGCAAAACATGTGGGGATTAATACAAAAAAGTATTCTTTAACATCAGAGAATTTCAAGGTTAATAAAGGTATATAAAACTTTCCTCAACAAGTTTTCCGAAAATTTCAGAATATTTTCATGAAATATATATTAAATATAAAATACAAGATATGTCTAAAAAGTTCGAAGAATGGAAGCATAAAAGTAAAATTTAAAAAAAAAAAAAAAAAAAAAAAAAAAAAAAANAATAAAAAAAAAAAAAAAAAAAAACAGCAGGTCAATTACAATACATTGCTTTTACAGGGTTGCCACAGAAAAAAATTAACAAAATAGTTGCTTTTTGTAGCCTAAAACATGAAAATAGTGACCAAAAACTAGGAAAATAGTTGCTTAAATAAGAACAAAAATTCAAAAAAAATATTACTAAAATTTTGTTAATGACTTAATTGTCATATACCATGATCCATTCAGTCAAGTTGGTGGCAAATATGATAATTTTCATCTAAACGTAAATGTTTATATATATATACATACATACACGGAAAGTGATTACTCAAATTCGAAATTCACGCATCGTAATATTGTTCTTTTTTTTTTTTTTCCTTTTAAAAATCACTCAGAATTTCGTAGCAATAATCATTGAAAAGGCGATCGAGAAATGAAATAGACTTACAATGGAGTCTGTGCAGATTGAACGAATTAAAAAGTGAAGACCCAAATTTGCAATTCAAAATTTTTTATTTTTTAAGAAAAAAAAAAGTTCAGTGTGTTCAGAAACTATCTTGTGGGGTTCAGATTTTTCACCCAATTTATGCTTAAAAAAAAACACTGTTAGGAGTACAGAAAAGTTTCCCAATAGTCTCCTTTTCCTGAAAATTCCATTCCATCTCTCAATAGTCTCCTTTTTTAGCCTTTTCAGGCAAAAAAAGTTGCCATAGTCGCCTCATGTCAAAAATAGTTGCATTTTATTCGCCTGTGGCAACCCTGATTTCAATATTATTACCAAGGCTGCTAGATTGAATCAGTGAAGGCTTTTTTGTTATGAATCAAACAAATGTAGAGGGAATGTGAAAAAAAGTTACGTCTGCGATGCATGTTTTTGGGGAATGTTTTCATAGCATTTTCTGAGTGCACTCTGATCCATTGGGGAAGGTACAATGGATCGACACAAGTATGCATCTGTTCTTGCAGATCGTATTCACTCATTATATAATAATTGTTTTTCCTCAGGATGATGACATCTACTAGTAGGGTTTTGCAGACTAATCTGTGCTGGTCTTTACTACATCCCATTTGTACATAGGCGTCTCTCTATACATATAGCTGCATTTTTAATTTTTGTGGCATTTGATATATCTAGCCATTTATTGAACTTTTTAGATGAACCTTGTATATTCCTAAGTTTAATGCTAAAAATATTGAATGAAAGGTATATTGTAACAACTAAACAAGATTTATTTCATTCCTTCTTCACCATACTAATTAAATATACTTCAAAAAAGTTTAAACAATAAGAGCATAAATCTTTAAAAATATTAATAAAACAAACCATAGTTTGTTTTATAAAAATATTTGCTTGTATAGATTAAGTTTTTTTTCCAGAAATTTCTATAAAAATTTACAAGAAAAAAAAAAGAACTTTATACTGATCATGCAAAAATTAGATATATTTTGGTCAAAATTAGGTGAAGCTTTAACAGTCCCCATGAATTTAAATTAATTATAATATAACATTCCCTACAAAAAAATAGCAATAAAAAGTTTTAATTCTGAAGTAAATGAATTATTAAAAGCAATACCATATTAGTGAAATATAGTACTTCATAAAAAAAAAAGAACATTTATATGGTAGTTCTTAAATTACCGATTATATTTTTCAGAAAACTTTAAAGCATTTTGAATTAAAAAAATAGGAAGTTCAAATTAAAGCAGTAAAAAAAATATTAAAATCAGATAAAACATAACCCAAAAAAGCAGATATATCAACTGAGGTTAAATCACATTCAAAAAACAAAGTGAAAAATATTTCATAAAAAAACCTCTTGTTCATTAAAAACTATTACAACAGTTAGAATAACAAATCTCATAATTATATACAACAATTCAACAGTAAACATTCTTATAAAGCATAATAAATCTCCACAGATAAAAAAAAAAATCAACAAAAGCATCAACAATAATTATCATAAAATATGACAAGATAAAGAAATCTTCAAAAGTTCACCAAAAAAAGTAAAGAAAAAGTGTAAATGCAGGAATAAAAAATATTGGGGCAGTTTGGCAAAAAAATTGAATAAAAGCATCAAATGGGTGTAACCAGCAATTATGAGTCTTTGTGCTTTCAAACTTTCCTCTCAAACTGGAATTTTACTTTCAAATGGCTCTGGAAAAACTGAAATGAGAAAATATATAAATTTTAATATAGTTATTTATTTAATTTTAAATTAATTAGTTAATAAAATCAGTAATAATATAACCTTGAAAATAGATATACACATAACTAAATGTTAACTATTCCTCGTTATGAACAAAACTTTTAATTCATGAAAAAAATTATTATAGCTAAAATCGTGTCTTAAATTGTGTCGTTATGAACAAAACTTTTAATTCATGAAAAAAATTATTATAGCTAAAATCGTGTCTTAAATCAAGCTTTTTTTTTTTTAAAAAAAAAGGCAACCCTATTTATTTAAAAGAAAAAAACTTTTTAATAATTTTAATTTCTAACAATTACATAAATACTTATAGTTTACAAACAAATGAATTAGCAAATTTTCCCATAAAAATCTAATCAATTTTAAGTTTGCTTGCTACTATCACTCTGTGCTATTTTAAATAAACAAGTAATTTTTAAATGTTTTTGTATCATTGAGTCACTGCAAAAATACATATGAAATGCAACTTATAATGCTAGCAAATTTAAAGTAAAGTCATAATGTCTCTAAGAAAATTCCAAACTATCACCAATTCCAAGCTCTATAGGTTTTCAAAATTTGACAAATATATAAGTATTTATAGCAGGAGTTAAGATCCATAGTTTCTCAAACTGTTTATCTTGATAAATAACACAATATTCTTGCTTCCATTAAAAGCATATGTGGGACAGAGGTTTGAACTTTACATATATAAAACTTTTTTCCATTATGAGTGTAAACATACATTTACCGTATATTTGCAATATGCTTTTATTTATGATTTTAATATTTTTAAAATACAATATTTATATAAAAAATATTCTAACAAAAAATATTTGAAATTCATTTAAAATAATATCAATGTATATTATTTTATTTAATGTAGCATTATAATAATATTCATTGTATTAAAATAAATGACAAAAAAGTATTTTATCCTCTCTTTATTATTTTTAAGTGCTATAATTATGAGTCATATTTCCTAACTGGATTATTTTTTATGTATATATATGCAGCCCACCATTTGATATTATTAGTGCTATTGATAATTTCATTATTTTAAAATGTTATATTTAATTGAAAAATGTATTACCTCAAATTTTGCATGCTCTTTTTTAGATTAAAATTTGCATTGATTTAATATAAAAAAGAGAAGATTTTTGTAATAGGAATCAATACTAATGTTATAAAATGCACACTGCTAAATAATAACATTAAATTATACTGAAGAATGACATTTACTTACATAATGAGGACCACAGGAAAACTTACTTTTTTATTTGCATGTGAAAAAAAGTTGCAAAGTAATGTATAATAATATTCAAAATCTTTAGATATTCCTCTTTTTTTCTTCATGTTAGTACATTTTTGGAATAAAAGTAGATATTTTTTATTTTTTTTAATGAAAATATTAAATAATAGTTGAAGAATCTTTATGAAATACTTCTTATGAGTTCAATTACTTATAATTTAGAACCCATTGTCTATTGTTAAAAAAACAAAAAATAACTCAGTTTGAACCAAAAAACTTGGTTAAAAAAAAGGTTTTTTGCTTTTTTTTCAATGGAAAAACTTTGTCACCCCTAAGCTACATGAAAGATACAAGAGGAAAAACTGCAAAAGGTACAAGGTGAAGTGTGTAAAAGGAAAATGCAAAAAACTAATCATCTAATTAAATTTTGAAGATTTTTAGAATAATATGCTTCAAAATAGGAAATTCTACTTTTTACACACATGCATTGTTTCTAATATATATAAAAAAATAATCAAATAGAAAAATAAATTAAGTAAAAATATTTGTCATAGAATCATAGCACGGTCATAGTTTAAAACTGTTAAATATTTTTTCTTCGACTAAAAGCGTAACACTGCAATAATAATATTATTAAGAAATGATACTGAAATTAAGATCATTTAGAAGTGTTGTCAGCAAAAAAATGTAAAGAAAAACTGCTACCTCTAAAAGAATTCATTTTTAAAGATTTAGGTAACCAAAATCTATTTATCAGAGAATTTAAATTTCAAGTAAATAAGCTGGAGGTAAAGTAAATTAATATTTTTCACAACCTTCAAAAGCGTCATAGCTAGAGTAGCACTTCATTAAGGAAGGAAAAAAGTTGTTTGACGAGAATTCTTTTCCATTCTGCATAATAAAATAAAAGGAATTCCCACTAAATATTATTTTCCTAATTCTAGTTATGGTAAAATGCTCTAAAATACATAAAAAATAAGGATAAAGTTCTGTGAAGAAATTTTTGGCTTTTAATTGAATTATAATTCAGAGAAATGTTTCATTTGAACATATATAAGTGAAAAATTTCATTTGAACATGCATAATCCAAAAGACCTGGAGGTTTAATGCAAGATATCACATAAAAAGTGATCACTACACCTGACATTAATTTCACTTACCATATTTCATTTTCATACTGAAAATATAATCTTTTTCAGAGTTCAAATAGATTTTTATAACTTCTTAGGACCGTGTTTTTTCTTCTTCAGAAAGCACATTATTTATACACATTTTTCACGAGCATTAAAAATATTAGGGTTTTACAAATATGTGTTTAGTTAAATTTTGAAGCACTTTAATTTGAAATAATTGAAAAAGTAACTTTTTCAACAAAATATTAAATGATGAATTATTAATTTCAAGAAAAATATTTTCCATAAAACCTTTGCTTAATTTTGTTGTTCAAGCATTTTACTAAAATTAAATTAGCCTACTGCTATTCCTAATTTTTACAAACTATACAAACACTACTACTTTGAAAAGAAAAATATATTTTAAACTCAGAAGGTAAGATCTTATAATGCTAATGATAAAAATCATATTACATAATTCTTCATATACAGTAGGGAACCGATTATCCGGAACAATCGGGACCATCATTATTCAGGATAACTGATTTTTCCGGTTTTCTGAATCGCTACAAAAAGCCGTTTTTTTATATTGTTAAACCCAACTAAAAAAAAATATTTGGAAATAATCTTAAACAGAAGAAAAAAAGATGAAGTAATATACTAATGATTATTTCCAAAATGATGGTAAGGTAAACATCTTTCAAAAAAGAATGAAAAATCCTAAAATCTTATGAGGAAAAAAAAAATTTATTATTTTTTTTTTAAAATGGCGGGAAAATGTATCGAATTTTGTTCCGGCTTTTTGGTTTTCTGATTTCCGGATAACGGGTTCTGTACTGTATAAAAAAATTTGGAACAAAATAAATTGCTGCATAATTTATTTTACATACTTAATCCTTCACACAGTCTAGTAGGGGAAAGAGGGACAGAACTTTTGAGATCCAAGCCTTCCAGCTGCCTGCCAAGTTTTAAAGTCAAAGAATTGTGTTTCTGTGCAACTTTTTGGGAAAGTACAGCAGGTGTGCTCATACGCCGATTGTTTTTCGCCTTTCCAGAATGTTCTGTAAAATCATCAGGAAGAACAAATGTTAGTTTTTTAACTGTTTTACCCCCACTTGAACGGCGTGCCATCAGTTTGGAAGTAGATTGATCATTATGACTAGAATATTTATCACCAGGAAAAGTATCATTATTTGTTTGATTATCTTGCTCTTCAGAGACCTCCTCATCGTCGTCATCATCCTCAGTGGCATTACTTATATGCTGCTTGTGGATTGCAATAGAATCTTGATGTCGAATGTAGCTCTTTCGCAAATCAATATCATTCTGCTCCTGCTTGCTTACAGCCGGAGAGGAGGCAGAGCTGTCATAACCACTTTCAATTGGTGATGACGGAAGGAACACAGATTCTTCAGATTGCAATGATGAGTCTTCATTACGAGAGAGTTGGGCACTGTCAGATATATCCGAAGATGACTCTTTCTTTTCACTATCAAGGAAGACTCTACAGACTTGAAAACGATTCCTTTGTAGACTAGATGATCCTGTTGTTGCGCTTTTTGAATGACCAGGAAATGAAGCACTGGAAACCATTCCAATGTTAGATGCATTAGAGCCATTAGATGATTGACTTCGTTGAGATGTTTTCTCCTGAATGAGGGAAGTTAATTCGGCTTCACTACGGATGATAGGTACATTTGAACTCTGAACAACAAAGTTTACATTCTTATCCTGCTGTTGTTCGCTCTCAATTCTTTTTCGGTTTCGCAGGCAATATTCTTGAATTTCCAACAGCAGCTTTTGCTCACCATTAACTTCATCAGGATCCTATAAAGGAGAAAAGTACTCAATGAAACTTTGTTACACAACCATAATGCATTCTAAAATATTTTACCAATACTTAATATTTTACAATTTTCTCTTGATTATCACATCGGAAAATATTTGTAAACGTAATAATAAAAAAAGGCTAAAGATAAATATATTTAAAAATTTTTTTTTTACATTATATGCCCGCAAAGTATTAGGATACCAATAAAGGATTGGATTAAATAAATATTATTATGATGTTTTAATTAAAATACACATAAATTAAAAATTGATGTCTTTTCTAGTATTTTCAAAGTCTGATATACTGGCTAGGATAAAACCATTCCTTATTGTCAGATACATACACATTTCTAAATATTAAGTCTTTGGTAACTTGTATTGACAATTATAACTTCAAAAATACCATAAAATATATAGCATAAGGTATAGGGCAAAATTAAAGGTAGCTGTTGGCCACAGGGCTACTAAATATAACCAGTGATAACTAAAAAATTATCTGCCAATTGCCACTTTTTTTGTTAATGCATGCTATGTGCAGTTTATTATTATTATATATTTTAAAAATAAAAATGACATTTTGTATATTTTTCAATATTCTGAAAACTACTTTACACGCTTGCTTAGTAGATTTTTCTTCATTTTAAAAAAGAACCTTGTAATGTTTACCAACATACTTGAGAAATGATTCACAAGAAATGCCTTACATTGTTAATATCAACAGTTTTTTAGTCAAATTTCTTTTTCTCCAATTTTTGGAAAAGTGAACAGTTATTTTAAAAAGTGGCCACTGTTAAAAATGCTACAATCGGCTACTAGCAAAATTTCTTAATTTTGCCATTTAATATAAAAACATCAAAGTAAAACTATGCATAAGACTTTTGCAAATTGGCAGGTTAGCAGTAGCGGATTAATTTATAAAATGTTAATAAAAATTCAACTAGAGATAAAAAAAAAGGAAGAAAAAATCATCCTTATCATAATAAAAGAAAAGTATACCCTTTCATCTTTGATTGTCTGCTCTACATTCAAATTGACCATACTCTGATTGTGATTTAAAGATAGAGCAAGAGCCATCAATCCAGCAAGTCTGATATCATTTTCTCTTAAATCGATCAATGCTATATGTTGATTATCAGCAATAAATTCAGCCAATGCAACTGAACCTAAAATGAAAGTTAAACAAAATTTAGAAATTTTAAAAATGTTTCTTGAAAGAGTAGTAAAAAATTGAGTAATAAAGTTAAAATACCTTCACATGTAATTTGGGATTTAACTAAAATGAGGTCTTGTAAGGACTGATTTGTTAAAAGACCCTGTTTCATTTGTTGAATTCCTTCATTGCATATACTATTTTGACTGAGATCAAGTGATGTCAGGCTTTCAGAGACCAGCTGAAATAATTAAAAAATAAAATATAATTAGTTTAGATATCGTGTGCAGGCTGGCTAAATTTGTATTTTTGAAAGTTGATACTAAACAAGCTATCTGCTAAATATAGTTTTTAAAGCCTCTCCTCCTGAGAATTTTCCATGACTTATATGGGTTAATTCATTATTTCATAATATTAACACATACACACAATGTGAAACTAATAGCTCCTATAATGAATTTTAACTTTGAATAAGTGATGTTTAGAAGAAAAAAAAAAATAAAAAGCCAAAATAACATTATTATAACTAGACTAAAAGCACAAATGTAAGTACATAAATTGACATACTATAGTTTCAGTTCTATAAACAAGAGCGTTCTACAGTTTCTAAATGTCAAATGAAGGGAGAGAAGTAAAGACACAAACGCATGAATGGGTTTTACTAATATGGTCAAAGGAAATAACAATGGGGAGATAAGAAACAGGTGTGGGAAACATGTTTCGTTATGTCCATTTGACGTTTAAACATCGAGGGAGGTTCTTATTTATATGACTAACACTATAGAATGCCAATTCATTTATACTTTCATATGTGTTTTAAGAATTTTTTTTTGCTACAGTCTATATCACAAAGTTTTACCCCTTCCTTTCTTGAATTACAATAACTAATTAGAGGGAAATGAGATGAATAAATTGTGACAATTAACAAATATGTAAATTGATTGTAACTCGTCTCAAATAACATAAAAAAAAGAAAAGAGCAAAATAAGATTTAATAGCATTCTATAATTGATAATATTAATTATAAAACGAAAGCAGCAACAGTGTGAAACAAATAGCTAATGAATCGAAACTGCACGAACAAAATATTTTAAAAATAAATTTTCACTTTGCAATGATATTTTTAACTAATTAGACTGAAATAATTTGAAAAGTGAATTAAATAAAGTTCAAATTCACACAAACTGACAATTTCCACAATTTTTCTAACATTTTTCACTAAAAAAAAAAATCAAGATTTTCCATAACAAATTTCAATCGTGGTCGAAATCATGACTTTCAATGATTTTTAATGACTTTTCAGGAGTGCAAATACCCCAACCACAGTAAAAATGAAAAAAATATTAATCTGAACGTTTGAACAAATGTTTTCAATTTAATTTTATTTTAAATACTTATGCAAGGATGCACCATTGATTAACTTATCAAAAGTGACCCATGAAACCTTTTAATTTCACCCTTGCTTTGTCTTAAAAATTAATAAAAATAGGAAGGAAGAAAGTATCAGAAAAACTCTTTTTCTAAGCCATGCTCTGTTACAGTGAATAACATTATCTTCAGATGATGATTGGATTGTAGTAATTTTGCTTATCAAAGTTTTATGATAATTAATTTTGTGTTTATAGAAAAGTTCAATTTATTACAAGTTTGGTCGTACAAGCTAGGAATATATATATATATATATTTTTTGAAAATTCAAAAAGAAAAATGAGAAGAAAAAAAACGTAAATTTCAGTTTGAATTCAAGTTTTATTGACAACCATCACATTAATCTGACTGTATTAGTTGCAAATTTTATTTTTTACTGATTCATAGTTTAAGCTAACTTTAGGGAGAAAATAAAGCTTTGTGCTTGTTTTTTTTAACATGCCAATGAATTACTTATAAAAATTAGATTTCTAACCTTATAAGTATATTTCTTTAACTTTAATTGCATTTTAAAATTTTTATTTATTTTTATACTTTTATTTGAACAAAAAATCATTTATAGATGAGTGTCACATATTATTTTCAAACGGAATATGAATGCATCCAATACTTTTAACATTAACATAATAGCATAATCACATTATGCTATTATATTAATGTTGGCATTCTATATTATATTTTTTTCAGGGCACCTACTTATGCATTAACAAATGAAAAGAAAGCAAAGACAATGAGGCCCCTACACAAATTAATCCCAATGGAAAATATCTTAATATAAGAATTGCATACATAAGTAAAAGTGAACACAAAATTTGCACAAACAATTAAAAGACAAAATGCTGGATCATTAATGAACAAATATAGCTTACTTACTAAAGCTCGATTTATATGTGCCATTCCATTACGAGTTAGAGAATTATTGGCTAGTACTAAGGTTTTCAAACATTCACCACAATTAGCTGCTTGTTGACATAAGCCATCAACCAAGTGGCAAACGCCTAAATCCTAGGGAGAGCAAAATATTTTTTTTAAATGAAAAATGGAATTGTTTAGTATGATAGAATTAATATGCTCAAGATTTCACAAACTAATTAACTGTAAACATAAAAACTTGTGAAAAGATTATGCATACTTCAACTTAGTATCTATAGAAACTTCATAACTCAAAAAAATTACAGGCATTTATAGTCAATCAAGTTATAAATTTCCTAGTTAAGATTTTTTCAGGAAAAAATCTTACAACTTTAAGGCTGGGCTAATTTTTTTTTCTCACTAAATGTAAAATGGGTACTTTACCCCAAGAAAAGTGATGAAATAATTAGATTCAATTTATTTTAACAACAGAGCAAGATTTTATTTTTCATTTTTTAATGTTTTCGTAAAACAAAAATTTTTAAAAAAAAGATCGATGTGGAGAAAATAATATATTTAGCCTTTGAATATATTATTTTTGTTGAATAAAATTTTTTTTAATGTGTTACTTTAAGTAGTTGTGGCACAAAGTGTTAAAGTGTTAAGTAGTTGTGGCACAAAAATCCTTGGACAATCAGTGCTTAATTTATTTTCATTAAGCAAAATAAAATAATTCCAGGCGATTATACATTAACAAATTTAAAAATGTATTTATACAGTGGTACCTCGAGATACGATTGCCCCAACATACGAGTTATTCGAGATACGAGCTGTCGAGTGAACGAAGCTTCGTTTTGAGATAAAGCACCATTTGAGATATGAGGAATGGCCATACAAGCGCTTCTCGTCCCCGACAATGCTCCTGCTCATCCACCGAACCTCGAAGACTACATCCTAGAAGAGTTAAAGTTTATAAAGGTTCTCTATATACCACCCAACACCACTCCTATCTTGCAGCCCATGGATCGGTGATTTCTAATTTTAAAAAGCTGTACACTAAGTACCTGCTCCGGTGCTGCTTTGAGGTGACAGAGAACACAAACTGGACACTGGAAGGACTACTTTAACATCGTAATATGCCTCAGAATTATTGATCAGGCCTGGCTGAGTGTTACAACGAGGACCTTGACCTCTGCGTGGAAGAAGCAGTGGCCTGAGTCTGTAGCCGAAAATTGTGCTGTGGCCTGATTCGAACCCGAAGTGCCAGTGGAGGAGGAGATTGTGCCTCTGGGAAAATCCATGGGCCTGGTGATGGGTGAGAGAAACGTGAAAGAGCTCGTCGAGGAGCACATCTACAATAGTTATTTACTTTCCGTTCTTTTTTTTTCTTAACAGTTAGAAACCAATACCTGTAGCATGCAGAACAAAAAAAAAGTTTTGTTTTCCTTCTTCCTAATAAACACATACCAATAAAAATTTTCATATTCAATATTTATACATCATTCAACAACTTTTCCATTAATTTCTTAGTTTTTTGGCAGCTTTTTAGAAAAAAAGTGAGAAATGGTTTCGGTAATATCCTTTTTGGAATGCAAGCAAGAATTATGAACTTCGACATCGTGATTGACTGCACAGTTCGAATTTTGAATTGAAAATTGCATACCAACAAAACAATAAAATTAAATGTTATCAACATATAAATAGCAATTAAAAGAACCTTTCTTTTAAAATATGGTTTAAAAGGTCAAAACGAAATTCAGAAAATTAGCGTCAATGCAACAATTGTAATATTTTCCTTTTCTACAAACATTGCTGTTAGCGATTGTAAGATAATGTGTGATTGGTTGGTTTAGCAGAGAAAAAATAGTTCAAAGATTTCAATGGATGGGAGTATGAAAGCTTTCAGAAAAAGAGTGTGAAATATTATCTATTGTTATTATAAAATTAAAAATTCTTAAACATTTCAAATCATTTTGTTAAAAGAAAAAAATACTCCCAAAGTACCAGGATGAACATGAACTGAACATGAAATGGATGTAGCCTCCAGATTAGAAGACAAAATAGGAAACCCCCTGTTTATATAAACAAGAGCAAATATCCTAACCCTTTCTTCCACTCCCACCACAATCTTTATCTTTCATAGACTGCATCGTCCCATAGTCTCCAAAGAGGTCAAAGGTTCCTCCATTTACTTAGCAACCATGGGAGAGTTTTCTGTGGACTTTTATCTAGTTTCACAGGGTTATAATGGAGCAAGTTTTGATGCAATCAAAGTATTGTTAAGTTGATGATATTTCCCCCGTTTGGCAATAAATTTCCATCTAAAAAAATTGGATATAATGGATGGTAAAATAATAGTTAAACTAAGAAAATGGAAGAAAAAAGTTGTTCCAGTTTATCTTTAAAATTTCCCGATTTTTTCAGATTTTTATCCAAATTTTCCAGACATTCTCAGGTTTTTTCTAGAATAAAAAATTCCCTGATAATTCCAGGTATTCAAGGTTTTCCAGGTGGATGGCTACCCTGTTACATTAATTATTAAATAATCATAACAAAAAATGGGGAAAACTGAATACCAATTATTTTCAACTTACAAGAAGAGGAAAAATTCATTTGGGAATGAAACTTAGTATATAGCTTCAGGGTGTTCACCCCTTGAAATAATGAATAATGCCAAACAGCTAATTTTAAGAAAAACACATTTGAAATTGGCATTGTGGTTTAGTGGCAAAGACTTACCTGAAAAAAAAGAGGCCTCAGGTTCGATTCACACAGTGGACAGTTTTTATTTTCACGATTTGCATTTCTCAATAAAATGTTTCTCTTTATTCACCACTAAGTTTAAATGTAATTTCATTTTATTTATGATATTTTTAAACTATTAGATATTTCTAGATATTTACATAACAGTAATAACTTAATCTTTTAGTAACTGGTAACTTTTAATACTGGTTAAAATAAATGGTAACTTTTAATACTGGTTAAAATGATATTTTTAAATTGTGTTTATTGTTAGGTTTCCACAGCAACCTCCTTTGTGCGGAAGTTTAATAAAACTAGAGCTGCACTCCTTTGAAGAGAGACGATAATATGTTAATTTGCCGGCACTTTTTGCATTAGTAATGTGCCATCCTGTCATATTAATACTTTTCTTTATGTTTACAATACCTTCAGTAAACATTTTACAAAATACAATTATAATTTTTCTTTGAATCATACATACATTTAGATTTTTTTAAAAATATTTTATAATGCTTTACAAATTTTTAAAATGAAATAGGTTTTTAGGCAAGAATTCTTCAAGAAATTTTACACTTGATTTCACAACATCTAATGTTAATGCAACTTGGGCGTTAATTGGTTAAATCCGAACTATTTTTCTTACATATATTTTGCCGATAAGCTTGTAATGTTAAGTATTATACATCATACTATATAAAATATTAGATTACAAACATTATACTGAATTATTTTTTTATGGGGATTTAGTTTTTAAGCTAAAATTATTTGGTTTATTTAGCACAATAACTAAAAGGAAATAGTAAATAAAATGAACAATTATTTTATGAAAAATGCTTGTAATTTTCCAACATACCTGCAAATTATTTGTTTGTAGATTTAAAAGTTCGAGAGTGTAGTTTGATCTTAGAAGGTTTCCTAATTGGAGTCCATCAGCTGAACAAATCTTATTTTCTCCCAAGTATAACTCAAGAAGAGTGCTATTCAATTTTAAAGCAGCGACTGAAAGTAAATATCAGAAAAGAGTAAAAACAGTGATTAAATAAAAGAGAAAAATTTACTTTTGAATTATCAGTAATGTTGCTTAACATGCTAATAATTATTAGTAAAGAAAAACAAAATATTTTTCAAATTGCATTAAAAAAAATAACTATCATTTTAATACAGTTTAATTTACGTAAAAAAAAGAAGACACATTCAGAAATTTTTTTGATTAAAGACAATTGCATAAGAGTATACAGAAAGTTCTGGAAAACTTAGATGTATTTCCCCCCCATATTTCTTTTAGAAAATACATATGTCACCCTTTTCTATACATTAACATTAGGTGATAACAGCTTCAAATTGATTTTGTTTCTTAATTAATTATTAGATTAAACTTACCCAGTATTACAAGAGCTCTTCCATTAATGCCACAGTTTTCCAAATGAAGTGCAACTAAAAATGATCCTGTTCTAAAGGCTCGCCCAAGTATCAGTAAACTTTGTTCATTTTGATTTGTTTTAGAAGCATCTAAATATTGCAAGCAAGGAGTCTGAAAAAAAATATAGAGAGTAAAAAATAAAATACATCTTGCAATATAATAGAGAATTTAACTTTAAATGTTCTTACATTTTCATTTAAAAGGATAAAATTAAGTCTTTACTGTTTTTTAATATCAGAAAAGAAGCAGTGTAAACTATTAATAATGAGGATTCATATTCAATCTTTAAAAAAAAAATTTAAAAGTCTCAGACCATAACAAATATACACAGCAATATAAGAGATTGATTAAATGTATTGAAAAATATATTTATTAGGAGATAGCTTTTTTTTAAAAATTTGTGGTCATTGATTACCACACTACAAATTAATAGTTTATAAAATGATTTTATTTATTTAGAAATTGATTTACCATTTCTCAAATAACTGATTTATGCATTAGCTGATGATTCATTCACTTACCAATTTGCTGGTTTGATTATTCACTGATTCACCAATACTTTAATTCATCTTAACTTTTCTTTTAATCACTAAGTGCATGAAGGATTATTTATTCAGGAAGGCCACAAATATTCAGAAAAGAAATTCACTGTCTTACAAATTTTATGAAATTTTCCAGAGTTTTGTTATTGATATCATAAGTTTTATGATTAATTTTATAGTTATGACTTATTCTTATACATGAAATAAATTACAAAACACTTATACTAGCTTTAGAGTAAAAAAAAACAAAAAAAAAAACTACAACATTGGATTTATACCTCAACCCTTGGCACCTCAAACTCAAATTATAATACATTTCTCGGACTTATTTGGTTTTTTAAATTAAATTCTGCCATTTCTCTGATCTATCTAGAATAATGAATTCTTTGTTCTTCTGAGATTTCATGGGAAAAAAAAAAGAATAAATGTCATGAATTCATAAAAAAAACCATGTTTGAAGCCATGAAAATGAATTTACTGCAAATTAAATGAACCCAAGAACCATGTTGAAACACATGGAAAAAACCATTCTGTTTTTTCTTTCTTTCAAAACCAGGGTTTTGGTGAACCCTGCGCAAAACCTATTTTTTTTTCTTTTCTGAATTCTTAACTCATGAAAGTTACTAAAATTCAAAGTAAGAATAAATGACACAAACAGTTATTTCATCAAAAATTATAAGATTTTCTTAAAATTGAGTTATGTACTTTTAAAGCCTGTAAATGACACATTAGCAAATTGTGGAATTGTCCATTAAAAAAAAGCAATAGCCTTTTGACACATTAGACAAATTTAAAAAATAATTAGTCCAAGTATTTATTTAGAGAAAACATACCCTTTTCAGCATTTTCGAACAAGCTTGCCAGCCTTGATTTCCTATATTTTTGTTTGAGGAGATATTTAAATGTGATGTTGTGTCATAGTACTCAATCATGTCAAATATAGCAGCAGCTCCCTAAATAATGGAATTATATTACTATAAATAATAAAAATGCAATAAACAATACAACATATATGAAATAGTACAATAATAAGATAAGAAAAGAGTTAATTGCATGAAACAGTAATTTTTAAAAAACTCAGTGAATCAGCTTTTTAAATACTAATTATTCGAAATTCAGCCACAGAATATTTCCTCTTTATTAATTTTGGATTTTTCAAGAAAAAAATCTTGTCTATTTTTTTTCCTAATAATAATAAATTCAATGAATTTTGAGTCATCTTGAATCTTGTGATGAAATATTTCTTAAAGTATTAAGTTACATAAAAATAATAGACATAGAATGAACAATCTTAAAGAGCATGAATAAATTTGTGTCTGTTAATTAACTTTCAATTTTATTTAATTTTTAAAGATATAATTTTTAAAAGTTTTTAAATTATGCTCAATCTTAAAACAAATTTTGAATTTAACAAACGTTTTAATATTTTCAAATTATTTACTCTTACTTAAACCCTATATCTTATTAAAAGTTAATTTATAAATAAAAATTCTTATCTTTATATAATTATTTAAGTAATTAATTCCTATTTCTTTACTATTTCCTATTCTTTAATAAAGACTATGGCTATATAATAAATAAAATTATTCAGATTAAAGAAGTATTTTTTAATAAAAAGTCTAAGAATAAGATTTAATCAATAACTTTTACTTCAAGTGGTAAAAGGGAAGATTAGTAGTCACCACATGGTGACCATAATTTGTTATCGCCTCTTTTTGATACCCTTTCTTCACTCCTTAAATTCTGGAAAAGCAATCACATAATGAACATAAAATTTTTTATTTTTAATATATTTTCTTTATTTTAATTTAAATGTTTGATAAGTTTTGTATGGCAATAAATTTCCTATAAAGAATCTTTAAGATTGTTAAATTTAAGCATAATAAAATTCAATCTCAACTATTTTTTCAATGTGATTAAATGAAAGGATTTTATTTCTTCATTATTGTCTGATATTATATTCTTCGATGATTTTTTCCGTCCTTTTTTATTGACAGTTAGTTGTGGTTAACTTTGTTTTTTTTTGAGACCCTACAGTAGAATTCATTATTGACGAAAAGAAACTCTGTAAAGAGAAGGTTGACAATTGATTTTGTTTCTTTGCTGAAGGATAAAATGGGAATGAAAAGGCAGGTGCAGTATTTCATCTTTGGAACAATTGTACAAAATGACAAAGAAGCAGAAAGGGAATGACAAAAATAGTAAATGAACCCCTAAAAGTAATGTTTCCCAAAAAAGTTCAACAATAAAATTAATACACAAACATGGCAATGGTTAAAGGATAAGATTTATCTGAAAAAAAAAAAATAGAAAATGAAATCAGCAAATCAAATGCAAAAAATAAAAAAGTAAGGAAATAATGAACAATGATAGAAAGCAGAGACAAACAAGCTCAGAGTAGTATTTGTAGAAATTTTAACCATATCACTTTTTGTTAAGAGGCTAAAATTTCCAGAGTAAATTACATATCATTCTAAAACAGAAGTTTAAAATTGATTAGAGCCAAAACAAGTTAAAAATCAAATCTATTATAATTTCTTTTTCCTTTTACTTTTGCATTATTATAATAACTAGCCGCCTGAGGCGGCCAGCTGTCCGCCACACTAAAGATTTTCACAAATAAAGTTTTTTGAAACATAGCAGGAAATCTGAAGATTAGTGGACAATTAAAGTGTTCCTGTCCAGCAATTTTGTCTTCATATCCAGTTCTGCTGCAGATGTGTTATAGCTCTTGAGGATGTTTGAAATTATATAGCTACAACGCTTAAGAAAAAAAAAACTAAAATGCTAAATACATGAAAAGAACACGAAAACGAATAAATTTTTTATGGTATCAATTTCTATTTCTATATAATTTTTTATGGTATCAAATTCTATTTCTATATCTGTTACGTCAAGCACTCAGGTATTATAATTTGATCTAGTTGTGCTTGTATAATTTTGATCTAGTTGCGCTTGTATAATTTCGATCTAGTTGCGCTTTCTACGTCATTTTGTTAACATCGTTTGGTTTGTTGTTTAACATCGTTTGGTTTGTTATTTCTAAGTTAACTTTCAAAAAATTGGCTGGCAACAGCCAATTTTTTGAAAGCAACGAAAAAGCATAGATTTTCTTACAAAATGACTTATAACTAAAAAACTAATCCAAATTTTTGAAAAAGAAAAAAAATACTTCTTCATTATGTCAAAACACAATTATGTGCCGAGTTTCGTGCCTGGGCGAGGCTTCTGGGGCGATATATTAAGATTACAGACACACACACACACACAGCCGCTTTTATTATTATGTATAGATATATATATATATTATAATATAAATAACAATATTTTTTAAACAAGAAAAATAAATTATTTTTACACGAATTTAGAAGCAAAATCATTATTAAGGTACTTTTAAAGCAAAAAGCGGCCGATAGAAAGAAAAAAATGGCCATCAATAAATTTACTTCCATTGGCCAGTGCCGCCAGATAAATTTCCCAGTCTTGCACTTTATCATGCGAGCAACTTCATTGATTGAATTTTATAAAATATTTATAGTAGTTTTATTTCAGAAATAAAACTTATATAAAATATGACATTGCAATCCAGCATTAATGTATAAAATATATTAATATGATGCATACCTCATCATCCAAGTTACAATCTTCAAGCAGTAAAGATGAAAATTGAATTCGCTTAAAAATCTCCTCAAGAGCTTCACAATGATGAGCAACTAAATTTTCACCTACAATACAACAAAAACATTGCTTATATAAAATGCCTAAACAAAAACCTATAGTGACTAAATTTTAAAGCACCAAAACACTGAAAAATTTTCTAATCTTTCTCTTTTTTCTAAACAATATTTAACTTTAAATTTTTTTAAATGTCAAACAGAAATTTATTTGACTATAGAAACACTTAATAAACCTTCCTTTTTTTAAAAAAATGATTTGCAAGAAACAAGGATTCTTCCCAGCTACATTTAATTTGACACAAAATTAGTTTTTAAAGAAAATAAAGTTAATTATTTCAGACAAAATGAAAACGCCATAACGAGTTTGAGTCTTGCTGATTAAGCCAACACAAAGCATTTTGAGATGTCGAAGAATACATCTTATTGATAGCTAAAAATTTTATTGATAATGAAATAACATATATATTTTTTTTTCTACTAATCAAATGTAAGGTAAATATAACTGAAAGATTTTTAAAGGTATAGCCATCTTAGAGCTCAACCCCAGGGGTGCTCAATAAAACTTCTATACAAACTAAAATATGAAAAAGAGGTTTGCTTTAAGGCTGAAAGAATTATTACCTTTTAATTATTATTTATTTTTCAACGTTATTTGTATATAATTCATAGCTAATATAAAATAATGTATAAGTGTAATTATTAATAATATGCTTAATGGAAATTTATAATATCCACTTTATAATTTATTAGCATCAATATTAGGCAATATAAATTTGAAATGCAATCTGCCATCTTCTGTTGAATAAAAAAATAAACATAATTTTTACTTTACTTACTTCAACTGTGTTTGACAGTAAAAAAAAAAAAAGGCTATGAAAACCATGACGAAATTTTTTATTGCACAATCATATAAGCTAAATACAATACAAAGTTCCATATCCGGATGTTCATTTACCAGAAGGGACTCTTTTACGGACACTTTTTAACAGTCAAAATAAACAAAACTCTTTTCATATTTTTTTTTTTTTACACTCGCGACTTGTTAAAAAAAAGTAAGCAGGTATGAGAATTCTCCGCTTCTTTCGGATTTTCATCCAACTTCCGATTTTTGTTTGATTTTAATCCAATCTCCGCTATAATATGTAAAAAAAGTCCTTAAATAATAATAAAAATAATTATATAGCGCGGCAGTATAGCAAGCTATTAAGTAAATCTTCAAAAGCGCGATTTTGAATTTGCAGATTGTAATATTTTATTAAATGAAATACGAATTTTAAAAACTATGGAGAAATCCCAAACTGTTGAAAAAGTGATCGACAAAACAATAAAATTGTGTTCATCAAAAAGTAATTCCACAAATGCGTGATTCGAAATTTCCCATGTATGATAAAGTAGCATTCAAAAACTATGAAAATCCGAAGCAATAACTCACAAAAATGTGATCATAAATCAAAATAGGATTGCGGGTGAAGAGTCAATAATTTAGTGAAATGCACAATTTGAATTTTCCCAAATGAAATAATATTGTATTAAAACATTGAGATCTTAAAAACCAAGTAAAAATCCGTTTTAATAACCATGTGGATTCACTGTGGAATAGCTGCTCATTAAGGAGATCGGCAAATAATTTCAGACAGAAATGCAAGATTTGGAATTTGAGGTATATTATGATGGCATATTAAAATATCAAAATTTTAAACACGTGGAAATCTGAAACAAAAAGCAGCAAAAATATTGCAACCATATGGATTTATTCGTTATTGTTTGAAATTGACATTATTGTTTATTTGTTATTTTTATTGAATAAGGATGTTTGTTTACCTTAAAGACCTATTATCCGAAAAACCTATTTTCCGGTCTTGCCAATTCCACGTATGGGACTTTCCACTGTAATTTCAAATGAATTAGCTTGTACAGTTGTGCAACACAATTTGGTTTCTAAGTAATGTCTGGTTTACTTAATTTCTTTCTTAAGCTGGTTTACTTTACTTAAACTTTGACAATTAAAACAGTGGTTCTGAGAAGTATGGTGAAAAATGCTACTGCACAATTTTGCAAGTTAATTAGTTTCAAAACCATTTAAAAGAGATACAAATGAAGGGTCACTACTTTAAAGTTGTCATCTGCGACTTTTTTTAAAATTTCAGGGATGAGATTAGCCAAAAGACAAAAAAGCTGAATTTCCACGATAGTAAATTTTACGCAAGCGCAACCCTTTAATAGTAAATTCCAGACAGTTTAAGGTAATAAATAATGTGTTGACATACAATTGTGTACTAATCTATTATTATATAAATGATTACATTGATACTTAACATTTAGTGAAAATAAAAATTACCAATTGAAAAAATAAAGCTGGAAATTATATTTTTCCTCAGTTCACATAAGAGACAATTATTACTTGAAAAACCTACCCGGTTTAGTAAATTAAAACTACTGAGAATATACATTAATATTTCATTTCTTTTAATAAATACTGTTATGTGATTTAAAGCAAATATATCAGTAATATTACTTTTTAAATTATATTGGGAAAAAAAAACTTAACATTGGACCGAATCATTATGTTCATATTATAGTCTAATCTAACTAGAGCCCTCTGAAACATATCAATAACAGTGAAGTAGAAATATATAGTAACTCCTTAACATACAAAAATTGCTATTTTAGTTTGAAAAATTACATGACAATCAGCAACTGTTTAGATAATTGTCTTTCATTTGATAAGAATTGTGCATTTTATAGCATAAATAACAGCAATTATAAATAAAGTTTTGATGATGAGTTAATTCAATCTTTTTCCAAAAAAAAAAAAAGAAAGAAAAAAAAATTATTAAATCACTTATTAAGTGATTGCTTTTGTTTGCTATATTTAGTCATTAGTCCATCTTCAAACATCTTGTGACAATTCCTATTTTTTCTTCTTTGCAAGCACAGAATGTAAGTTTTGAATATATTCCCTTCCAGTTTCTCTGATGTTGTAACACTTGCATATACTAATAATCGTCGTTAGAAAATCAGTCACACTTATAGCAACTAATTAAAAAAAAATTTACTTCTTACAAGAATCGCGATTGTTGATCTTAAAATTGCGTGAATATGAATAACAATTATGGATTTTGAAATCACATGAATATGAAACTAGCTATACGATTTTGAAAATGAGAAAATACAAACTGGGATATAGAATTTTTAAAACGCGTAAATACAAATCACGATTCATAATTTTTAGATCGCGTAAATACGAATCATGATGCATAATTTTTAGAGTGCATAAATAAGAATTATGATGCATAATTTTTAGAGTGCGTGAATGCGAATCCCAATGCCTTATTTTAAAATCACGTATAAATATGAAAATCAATGTTTGATATTATAAACCGCATAAGCAAATTAAGACATTGAATTTTAAACTTGCGTGAATACGAATCGCTATGTAGGTTTTTAAAAAGGTGTAAATACGAATCACATATTGGATTTTTAAATCTCGTAAGTAAGAATCACAACGTACAATATTCAAATCGCGCGAATAAGAATCGCAACACGCAAATATGAAAAGCTATGTTTGATATTAAAATCGTGTAGGGGAGAGTCGGGTAGCCCCACCCACTTAAGGAGTATTGCTTATATTTCTGTATAATATTGAGTAATAATCAATATTTTTGTATGTTTCTATTGTTTTATCATCTAATTAAATAATGCAAAAAGAATAAACCAAAAAAAGAATAGTTTAACTTAAAAAAATAGAAATTTAAAAAAACATGTTTTTCAGCTCTTTTCAAAATGTGTCGGGTAGCCCCGCCCAGTTACAAAAATTATGTTTTTTGACTGTTTTTTCAGGTGTAAATGAAAATGACCAATGTATTGACAATAGATAAACCTCATTTATCATTTTTATCACAAAATTATTTTATTTATTACATATTTATATACTTTTAAAGAATTCTATCATTTAATAACTATCATTTAATAACAACAATATTTGTTGTTAAAAATTCATAAAACATTCAAATTTGAAGCAATAAAATAATAATCTTTGCAACCGTACATTTATCGACGAAATAAAATTGGGCGGTGATATCCGTCAGTCATGTGAGTGGTGCTATCCGAAATCAAATTTTTCTGTAAATTTGTAATTACTCGAACAATTTTTCACATATAAACTTTTTTCTTTGTGCAAATTAAACTTAAGACTACATACTTTAATGCTGTTTGTATAGAAAAAATTACTTTTTAGTATTAAAATGAAGTTTAATTGAAACATTCAACCAATTTTTCTTAATTTCATGACTACTGTAATCAACATATTTTCAAAACTATTGTTTACCATGTTAACAGCTGCATAAATACTTGAAACTTTGAAAATAATCTTTTTTTAATATAACTATTAATGTCCGATGGCCCAATGACTTGAAAAAATACTCTATACATATGAAATTGACAGTGGGCTGGGCTACCCGACTCTCCCCTAAATAAGAATCGAGATATTAGGCTTGGGACCTCTAAAAGGCTTGTCAGAAGCAGTGTCGTTTGAACTACGAAAATCGGACCTATCTGGAGGGCGGGTAAAAAATTCGGAAAATCTTATCTGCTGCGTGTAAAAAGAGAGAAAATAGCTAAAATAAGTAAAACTGAGAAAGGATTGGTAGCTATGTAATTTGAATTTTCTATTTCTCTTTGAAAATCAGTGAATTTTCTGAAAAAGCGGAAAACTTATTTAAAAAAAAGTGAAATTTTTAGAAAATCTGAATTTTTGATAAAAAGCTGAAATTCAAGAGATAAAAGTGAAAAAAGCGGAAATCCGCTAAAAAGCGGAAAAATCTCATCCCTGAAATTTAAACTTATATTTTTCAAGCCATGAATCTAAAAAGCAGATTAAAATAAGCAAACAATTAGGATGGAGTTACCCCTTTTAAACTCCTGGCAATGAGTATATTTTCTACATTCAATATTAGTTGGATATCATGTAGTTATCACATTAAACTAGTAGATATAAGGAAATATTAAAAACTGTTTTGAAAAAGTTCACATAACTCAAAAAAGATTTTTACCTTTTAAATTGAGCTCAAATCCAAATTCTCCATTTAGGTGAACAGTCTAAAAAAAAAAAAGAAAAGAATTTTAATATTTTTTCTTACTTTTATTTTCTAAAAAATAAAACTGTATACAATTCTGTCAAAGTTTCTTTAATGTTTAATTATTTTTTACAAGCTCAGTCTGGCATGTAGATCGGTGCTACAGCACTAGATTATTATTTCTAAAGTTATCTGACACCACATGTTTATTTTCCTTGCATGGTAAAACCTCCAAACAGTCTCTTCAATAGTCTGACCAGCGTAAAAAGTGGATCCTATTTTAATTACGAACTAACTGATTTTTCAAAAAATTCATAAATTACAAAAAGGCACACAAACAGAAGTATTAATATAAATCTAACAAAAATGAAATTTGGATAGGTAAGCATTTTCATAAAAAATTAGTAATTCATATAAAAATAAATTCAGTGCATTTTGAACAGCATCTTATTAAAGTTTCCCGTAGTTTTTCATAGCATTAATAAGAAATATAATGTAGTAAAAAGCATTGATGCTTTATTTTTAATCTTTTCAATTTTTGTCGGATGTTTGCTTCACTTTTACATATTTTTGCACAGTCCCTGCCCTCTACATATAAAAAATAGGTCACTGTTACAAAAAATCTATAGATTTAGAATTTTATTTAATGTGTACTTAAAGGTCAGATAAGAAAAATAAAATGAATAATGCAAGCTGATAATTAATAATAATGAATGCAAAATATAAGATAATTCAATAAGCTAAAAATTATTTAATTAATATACAAATTATTATTAATAATAAGCAATTGCTCATAGTTTACACCTGTAAATTTTTATGAAAAAAAAATGTACAACTGAAAGCTGTGATAAAACAACTTGTAATCAATAATTTGCAATTTACAAGCAGTAATTTTAAATGAGTTGAACAAATAATTTTTAAGTAATCATTACTGCATTAAGAAAAAGTAATTATCCCAGCCTAAGCCATCAAGATTTAGAAAAATGTGATTACTGTGTAAACAGGCTCAATACTTTAGAAAATTTAATAACTGAGTATATGACCTAAGTTCTCATTTAATTTTATCATTTTAAACAACTTACCAAGTTTTATAAAGTGTATTTGATATCAGAACATGAATTTAACTAAAAGGTTTATAAATAGGAAATAATGAAATGAATAAACTGCTATCCTTTGAGAATTGTAGATCATTTATGATATTTATTAAAATATATTGAGACAAAACTCTGTAAAGAAATAACAAAATTATAGAAAAATATGAATTTACTTGTAATTGTAGCAAGACTTTTTGTAATGGTTTAACTCCTTGTTTCCAGCAAGCAGCTCTATATGAAGCAACAATATTGTCAGTTGATTCTGGGCCTTCTATGTTATAAAATAATATAATTACAAAAAATGCAAGAATGGCTGGTTTTTATTTAAAAAAAAAAAGATATGCATAAAACAGTAAAAAAAATCAAAATCAAAATAATATTTTTAAAAACCACGTTTTTGTAGTGGAGAATAATAATTAAAAAAACAAAAATTTGAAAAAAGAAAATCGTGGGGCGCATGAAATACATAATACGTAACAGTATGTGTGCTCAAGAGAATATGTGTATGTATATCTGTAATTGTATCTGAATGTGGATGTGTAATATGTTTGTGTCTATGCATGTGTATGTGGTTGTGCATGTGTATGAGTAAGAAAAGGTGTATGTGTATATGTACTGTTATGTAGTTCATGCTCCCCACGTTTTTCGTTTTTCAAATTTTTGTTTTCTTAATTATTATTCTCCACTACAAAAACATGGTTTTAAAAAGTATAATTTTTATTTTTTTTTGTACTCACTTTCAAAACCTCAATTTTTCTCACTCACTGTACACAAAAATTTTCAACTGACATGTGACACTAATTTGAAATAATCGAATCAACAACAAAAGACAATTGCGAAAATAAAAATTTTTCTTTAATTTTAATTTACTTTGTATGTCTTTTTTCTCTTCATTTTCATGCATTGTCATCTAATTCTGAACTATGTGCCAAACTTGAAGTCCGTAGCTAGTTGGGAAGTTAGTTTAAAATCGATTACAAAATTCCACCCACACAGACATACACGAAGGCAAGTTGATATAAACGTGGTAAAAAGATATCTAATTTTTCATTGAGAAAAAAAATTAGTGCACCATCAGATTTATGCCAGCAGAATTATACTAAACTTTAAAAGAAAAATATTTATTTCTGTAATAAAAATGGAAGGTGAAAATGGAAATATTTCTGCGTATCAAATTACATAGCTGCTTATCTTTTTCTTAATTCAAGTGCCAGATCAGTTTCAAATGAAAATTTTGATTTCAACCCTTTTTTCAATTTTATCAATAAAAGAGATAAGGGATTCATTTAAATGTGCATATTGATAAATGGATAATAAGGTAGAAAATTTATCACCAGCTTAATAGAAAAGATGATTTTTTGCCTTTTCACCTTGGAGACTACATTTCTTCAGGTTATTTTTAGTTTTTTTAAGAAAAAACTTAGAAATGTTGTAACTTTTGAGAAATTTGAAAAAAATTATATTATATTAAATCGGGACCAACTTTTAGTAAAAAAAAAAGGCCGGAAATTTGGAAGTGCTTGGTCTTGAGGACCTGTAGTTTGGCACCCAAAAAATAGCAGAATCACTCATGTAATGTACACATTCTAAACTTATTAATTGAATATTTAATGAAAAACTATTGTTCTATATTATTTTAACTTTTTTTACAATTTTAACAAGGTAATTCGAAGATGGTTTCTAAAAAAAATTTCTTTAAAAAAAAACATTGAATATATATTATATTCCTATGTTTTATTCCTACCATTTTATAGCAAGATTATATTTTATATGTTGAGGGAAACACAAGGAATGGAGGATTTTTGAGGTTATTATCTTAATTCAACATGGGAAAAAGAAAATAATTGTTCCAACAAACAATTTAAGAATATTTTCCCTCTGTGTAAAATTTTTCAGTGGTAAATCTCACATGATTATGAACAGAACTTAGGTGAATATTTTTTGCTGAGAATTTAATTAAATATTTAATGAATTCAAAATTAATCCGAAGTTCCTAGAAATACTGACAGACATACAATAAGCAGGCATAAAAAAAAATTATAAACCAGATAATTTAATTTTAAAAAAAATATCAGAGGGGAAAGAAGATTTTTTTAAGAAACTAGAAAGTTCTGACCCTTTCTCGCCCCACTAACCAAACATAGTGGTTGCTTCTCATTCATCATTGCATTTTTTCTTCTTTAAAATTAATAAAAAAGTATAATTTTGTTTACAAAACAAACAAAAAAATAATTTTATGTTAGGACATTTTGTTAATATCTTAATTGTTAGAACAAAATATACCTATAATTGAAAAAAAAAATAAAAAATCAAACCTAGGAATACACAACATAATTTTAATATTTTTCAACACAGAGGGAAAATAAGACTTCATGGTTACCATATTGAAAAATTAATAAGTTGATTAGAGTGTGTTGGAATTGATCTTTTTTTTAATCAATAATTTTACCCCATTTAATAATGTTTATAAATGAAATAAAAAAAGCAACATTATTAAATGGGATGCCACTGCGAGTTTTTACTAAAATAATTTTTTTTCTTTTCTCCCATTTTATTCTGTGTTACAAATGTATTCAAAATTTTTTTTAAAATTAAACTTTTTACAGACTTGCAGTCATTTATATAGAGCTTCGTAATTTATAGCAGGTAACAAATCTTCAAATGCATTTTCAGGCAAACAATGTATTTCAACCTCCTTGAATTAATATAGAATAATCTGATTTCCATTTTGGGAATTATAAAATTTTGCATTCTTTTTAATGCACTACAAGATTTATTTGAATTTTCTATTAGGTATTAATTTTGCTAATTTATTTACCAAAAATCTGATCAAAACAAAATAGAGATTTGATTTCCGAACCAATTGCTAATGCTAAGAATTGCTATTGAATGAAATTGCTAAGTCTCACTGCTTAATTTTGGTATAGAATTGTTATGATGAGAGGTCGCACCATGACCTCTTAAAAAATTTTAGTCTTTAGAAATCTGAAAAATTTCATCTGACATTTAACATAATTAGATCCTTCTATTTAGTTGAATACGTTGTAATTGAGCTATAGTAAATAAACTGTCATTTATTAGAAACTGTTCTTTTCTCAGTAGGTGAGGATTCTATTAGAAAATTCAAAATTGTAAAAAAATTTTATTCCTTCAATTATAAGAGTTGAAAAATTGAACAGTGAAAGGATGATTTGATTAAAAAAAAATATAGGTTATGATTTGTTAAATTTAGAATTTAATTTTCAAATTAAAAAATTTCTCTCTCCCCAAAATATAATCTCATACTCACGATGACTTCTGTTATTGGCCTTGCGTTAAAATTTGCAGTGGAAATAAGTTTGCCCCATTCTGGATTTTTTTAAAAATTATTTTGCTTAGTTTTCTACATGTCATTGCCCAATTTATGTTAAATTTCATAACTTTGAGCTAAGTATAATAGCAAGAATATTTTTTAGGAAGATTTACATGTGCGGAATATTATGCAAATCGTCGATTTGAAACTAAACTGTGGTAACTCAAAAAGGCAAGTTTTTCAGGAGAGCGTTTCTAACTTTTCAAGAAGGCGAATCGAAACGATGCGATAACGATTTATCTGCTCTCTAAATTAATTTTATGGAACTTATGAAGCTAACACATTGTTTCTCTAAAAGGGTGATTTGTTTTACACAAAATGACCCAAATATCTCATTTTTCGAGTTACTAAGGTTTAGTTTCAAAGCGATGAAATGTGCTGTTATAACTATATAAAAAATAAGCTTTTGAGAGCCTAGGTTTTTAGCCTGAAATTCCACAAAAAATATTTTTCTAAACCATTGTTCTAACCTTATTGTTGTTACAATATGATTAAAATATAAGTCTGGCAGATTGTAACGCCTCACATAACGTAGATTTTAGCGTATAATTCTACAAAATATACTTTTATTAATATTTGTTTTTATCTTATTGTTGATCCAATATGATTAAAATACAAGTCTGAAAGAGCTTAATGCCTGACTCAACATACTTAAAATTTTACTTTATCGCATAAATTGAGTAAATAAAAGCTCTAGCTAAAGAACTATTACAATACTCAATAAAACCTATTATTATATTTAAATCTACAATTAGCTTAGTGGTATGCATTAAAATTAAACAAAACTTCACTATAATATTATGAGGATCACTTTAATGAAAGTATTAATTATAGACTTAACATTTCTTATGGAACCTTATATGATATAACATCTTTTCACAGTGTATCATTGAAGAAAATAAGATAGATCAAATATTAGAGTGTGAGGTACTTTTTAACTAGGTTCCAAATCGAGAATTTCTTTTAAGAATAAACTGAGCAACATTGCAGTTAAAATAGATACCCAAAATTTTAAAAACCACATAAAATGCAACTAATTAAAATTTTCAGTAAATATAATGAAGCATTTGAAGAACTGACCCACACTCCATGGATCAGGTGCTTCAAAATATCCCGTAACAATCGTTTCATCATCAGGAAAAGTCACTCTTCTAACTTTGGCAAGATTGTTTATATTAGCTATCTCTCTCAGAACAGATCGCTCATTCGGAGAGGATGGAGCAGAAGCAGATCTCTCAATCATGCTACTGATTGAACAGTTTGGTTCAATATCGATAGATAGAGAAGTCATATTTTAGTATTTTAAATCATTTACTTCTAAATTTTGTATAAAAATTGCCTTAATTCATTATTATTTTGAAGTTTAAATGTCAATTTTTCTCTCACTCTCATCCTCGACTCATTGCCGTAACCAGATACCAAATCCTGAAAACATAAAAGTGATAAAAAGAATTAAAACACTATTTATTTTTTGCAGAAAATCAGCTGAAATTTTAATTTGAGAACCATCGAAAATAAATTTTTAGATCTATAACTCGTATTTTTCTTCTTTTTCAGGAACAGGGGTTGTTATGTAAAAGAGAGGTTATAATATGCATTATTCCATTTAACCAATCAATCTCGTGTTTACATCAAAATGTCCAATTAAAATTCAGCTTTGAGAAGTTTTAAGCTGCAATAGAATTAAGCCTTAACAAGCCATAAAGTTTTTCAAAATTATTGGCAACATCAGTTGCTTTGTTTATTTATTTGTTGTGCTGTCAGGACCGAAATTTGTCTCCTTTTTAATTTTACAACTGTCGAAAAAAAAATTCTTCAAATTTAAGAAATGGTAATGTATTTTAGAAAAAAGAGTAATTATGAAAATCCAAAACTTTTACTTTCATAAATTTGAGTTATCAGTGCTTAGGACGAAAAATCATTTTCATAATGCTGAAATATTTGAAGTATTTAGATTACTTTTTTATCTACAAATATGTTGAGAATGTTTTAAAAATAGTTACATTGTTCATTTAATATTTAAATGTGGCAGCATAGAAGCATTAATAAAAATTTACATTAATTTTGGCAAAAAACGCATGCAAATACTTAAATTTGGCATACATCGTTGAAAAGGAGAATGAGGAAAAATGTTATAGATCGATATGCCTTATGAGTTAAAAGTATATTTAGTGGTTTTATTATTTAGCGTGTTAAGCGTTTTCCTCTGTATTCGTCATTTTACAGCACATTTTGTAAATTTTCAACTTGTTAAAAACAAGTCAAACCTCTGACAATTCTCCTATAATTTTGATTGAATTACCTTACTATGGTGTCAGGAAAGTTCCATATGGTAAACTGGGTTTTTCCGAAAATTATGCAACTTAGTTTCATTATTATCTTTATAAACAGTTTCTCAGTTTGGTCTTATTAGATCAATAAAGAAAATTTTAACGTTTAAAGTCATCTCAGCAAACTCTTGCGGGAAGTTCTTATCTCAGTTCTTGATTGTGCAGGGTTATTTCCGTATCGTGATTTGTTGCGCCATCTACAATCCCCTAGGGGCCAAATAGATTTTAAACTTGCAGTTTAGAACCCCCTCCCCCTAAAAAAATGTGTTGAGTGGGTGGCTACGAGTTATATCCTTTGAGTTGGTCCCTTTCTGTGACGTTTTTTCTTAGTTTCTTGCGCTCCACTGCTAGGAAGTTGCCAAGGGCAATTATTCTGCCACAGATCTTGATGCAGAATTCTCCCAGATGGTGCATCTACCCAGTTCTTGAACTTGTAATAAATACAGAAAATGAGGATATTTCTGTATCGACATCACTTTGCTTCTGCTTCCTATATTCGCCAAAGCACTGAAAGGTTTATTAACTTACAAAAATTAAAAAAAAATATAGTGTTTTTCCAGGGGGTGGCTAACAGTTATTATTTCCAATTTGCTTCCTTCTGTGAGTTCCCCCCCCCCTTTAGTTTTTTAAGGACCACTGCCCGAATGTCACCAAAACTAGGTGTTTCTTTTAACATAGATACCGATACGGAAATCTTCCTAAAAAAAACTACTAATATAAACGTGAGAGTTTGAATTATTTATTGACTGGTTTTATTGAAGACAGGATTTGCATAGCAGGTTGGCCCTTGAGTGAAAATTTTCTGAAATGTCTACTGTTTGAACCTGCTTACGAACCCCTGATATATTTATCTATACTTAGAAAAATAGTTTGTTGATACTGATTTCCATGTAAATACATGTGGTTTTCTGAACAGCCATTTGTCTTTTTTTGCTTATTTTAATATTTTTTTTAGAACTTATTTTTAATATAATGCTAATATGACATAATTTCTATTTTGAGTTTACTTTTTTAGTCATACTTGATTCATGGCAATTTTACCATACTTTAATATTGTTTGCTGAAAGTCTTTTTGGCTGTTATTATCATTTTATCAGCTCTCTCGTCATGGATTTTCTGCTTCCTATATATATATATGTTTTGTCGACATGCGGATTTAGGGGGCAAAAATATTACAAATGATTTATTTGTAAATCACTTTTTGATGTGCATGATTGCAAAAGATGCTACATTATTTTCTAATTGTTTATCTGAGTTTTTTATACAATAGTACAGCATATATATTTCTAATTTAAAGTATCATTTTTCAACCTGCTTTATTCGTCACTATTCTATCGTAAATCAATGTCTATGGTTTTCCAACCATTTTCATGTAATTTTTCCTCTTTTTATATTTTAAATGCAATGTGAATAATGCAGAGTTTCGTAGTTTAGTAATCATTTTTGGATGCACACAATTAGTAACAAATCCATCGAAAATACACATTGTTTTCGGTTAAACTTTTTTTGGCAGCTGTTACAATTTTTATTTTTTCTGCCATTTCTAGATCTTTTTTAAAATCCCAATCTATTTAATAGGATATTCTTACAACCTGCAATATTTTCAAAGTTTATTATAAGACAAATGTATTAAGTGCGCAAATTTGCCTGAAATTTTTTTTTTCTTTAAGGTTTCACTTTAAAATCAAGGTTGCTTATGAGAAAAAATTTATAATTTTGAATATGTTTGGTCTCTTAAGAACTACGAAATTTCTTGAATTGACATTTCTGTTATTTTTTTCTGACGGTTACCCTTTATTTCAAGGATATATTTAGTGCCCTTTTCAGTTCCTAGCTTCCTGTCCGTATTAAGGACTAGAATGAACTGTGTTATTTATTTTTTGTTAGCAGTTGGATGTATGTCCCTATGTGTTTGAAGATCTAAATGCTAAAATATGTATATAAATTAGACAAATGTGTCCCATCTCCGTCAAAGATAGAAAGAGTGATGTATTTGTCTGGACATTTTAACAAGGTGCTGTATTCAAAGTAGCTAACTCTGTTGACTTAAGCAACTTTTATTTAAAATTGTCATGTCTAGTTTAAATTGTTTAGTTTTAAAGTTTCCTGTTAAAGTCAAATATTTGATTATTTCAGTCTCATACCATACTGTTGGCCCAACCTGGCAAACCTGAAACTAGGAGTTATTCAGATTATGATTCTGTAAACGAATGTATGGAAGGTATGATAATAGTTTTTCATTCACAAATTTTTCGACAATGTCAACATAATTGAAACTGAAATATAAAAATTATATTTGCCTGCATTTTATATATATTTATTTTTTATATCTAGGAGTATGCCACATGTATGAAGAACATTTAAAAAGGCAAAATCCTGAATCTGCATCAATCACCTATGATATTCGTCAGCTGTTTGAATTTGTCGATCAACTAACTGATCTGTGTTGTTTAGTGTAAGTATTTCCAGCTTATATTTTATTTTAATTTAGTCAAACAGCATGCTGTTTGACCTGTTGTTTGTTTTGCTGTTTGAAGATAATTGCCAAATCAATAGTTACATTAATTTATTTTGGTTGTTTAGAAACATAGCCTTGGATAAAAGACTGAATTTCTTTTTACCATTGCCAACAAAAATGTCTTAATTGTATTAAAAATTGAATTATAAAAAACTCATTAAATGAACTTAGTAAGTTACATCTCAATGGTTTGGTGAATTCAGTTTAATGAATGAATTTCGATTAAGAAAATATAATTTAAGAAAAAAAATGTTGATGTCATTTTATTCTAACTCTTGGTAGGCATAATGAGTCAAAACTTAGCATAATGGGGTGATGGTTATGTGACATGATGGACAACAGAAGTGACAATATTTGGATAAATTTCCCGAACTTTTTTTTTTTTTTTATTGTAATCATTTTCTTTTATTCAAGTTAAAATCAATCAAAATGCAGATAATTGTAATAAATTTAACCAATTTCTTATCACTTGTAATATTTATTTTTAAACTATTTGTGTTGCAAAATATACAAATGAACATAAGTGAAATTATTATCCAACCCAATTTGAAATGAAATTCAATCCAGCGTGCATCATTTATCTATATATATTTTTTAAAAAAAAAGTAAGTGCTAATCATCAGTGTTAAAGCATTTTTTAATTTCTTGATAAACAAACAAGAAGATATTTGGTTAGAATATCATGTTAAATTTTGATTTGAAATACCTACGGAACATGTATCGGTAGCATCATATCTACCATGTCATATAGCCTCATTAGTATGATATATTTTAATTTAAACAGACTTTCTTGATTTAAACTCATTATTTATTTGAAAAGCAAATAAGATTAAATTTCTTTGCTTGTTTAGAATAAGTTTAGAATATTTCTATGAATATACAGATTACATGTAAAAAAAAAAACATTTATCTTTATTCAACTATTGAGTGTATATTACTGCTTTCAATAAGTTAGGTCTTATAAGTTTGAAGTCTGAGTACTATCTGTGTTATAAATGAAATTAGAAAATTATTATTGTTATTAATTAGTTGTGAATACCATAAACTAAGCATTCCATATTTAAAGTGTCATAAATAATGTAGACCGTGAAAAAAGTTCAAGACATTTATAATGGTTTTAATATTTATGATAAAGATTTTTTTACACAATTACAATATTTTTGATTCATAAAAAAATAGTTCTTTGATTCCTGCAAATGGAAAAGGCTGGTTTTGTTCTAAAGACTGGTGAAAATCCTAATGGAATGGTCTATGTTAGTAAACATTCTTGTGGTCGGCACATTAAAGTTGGAAGAGAAAATAACTGTGGACACAAAAAATCCTTCTCGTTATTAGAAACCAAAAAAAAAAAAAACCCAACCTGAATGGTATGATGAGGCTATCAGAAAAGAAATTTTTAATTCATCATAGCAGCAAATCTGTTGGAGATCAAACACTCATGCAATGCAGGGGAGTAGTGCTGGAACATCATGATGTTTTTCAGGCTAGTTGGAATGAATAATGAACCCCTCCTTGAAAACTCTGCTAATTCGCTGATCATTCGTCACATGATTGGAAAAAATTGTAGCATCTTGTACTTTTTAGAAGTAATATGCACAAAAAAGGCTTGTTCTTTATTTAAAGGGGAAATCATGAGTGTCGGAACTGTTTGTAGTCATGAACATCCATCATAAAATCCCTAGATTGGGGCGGGAGTCAAATTAAAAAAAATTTGTATTGTTAGTTAAGGCTGGTCGATGTGTGAATGGCGTCTACGCGAGAACGTCTTGATTTTTATACTCTAGCTTATTTTTACCAGCAAATTTTAGTTTTTAGTCTATATTTTTAACCAATTTAAGATTTCAACCAGATTTTTATTGGAAAGAGCCGGAGAAGAACCATGTTACAACTAGAACTGAAACACTGACAAACTCGTACCTATTGATAAAAGAGGCCAACAAACAGGTGCAAAGTGACTGGGAGGCTAAAAATTTTAATGTGGTTCGTCCTAAGGAGGGAAAGTGTACAGATTGTAATTAGGTAACCCGATGTTACACTATCCAATTGTCTGGTAGCTTTGGTCTATGTTTCAGCATATTTTGGTTCTAATGCTGAAATATAGACCAAATACTAGATTATTATAATCTAATATCAGAGAATAAGGAAAGAGAATGTTAAATTTTGTCTCATGAGGGTATATTACAATCTATGATAATACCTCACAATAATCACCTGTAAATGTGATGATATAAGGAAAGAAAACATGTAAAGGAAAACATACTTTTATTAGGGATGATCCCAACATTGCCGTTGTTATTTATAATAAATCTAGTCTAATAGTACAAAATAAAATTTTTAGAGAACCTCTTATCATTTCGTGTTTTCTTCTAAAAATTACATATTTTCAAGATATTCATTTTGGACTTTTTTCATTAGTTTCTGAGAACATTATTAGATGCTATTTACTACAGAATAATAAAAAAAGGAAATGTTTTTCCTGCATCTGCACAATATGGAAGAACTGTATTAAATGCTTATATTAAAATGATAATTTTGTTATTGTATAATAATTGCTTCTTAATAATTGCTTTTGTTATTGTTTAATAATTGTTTAAATTTATATATAGTGGAAAAAAACATACAACAAAAAGATTAGTTTTTCATAAAAATTTCCATATCTCCATAAAAATGTAAGCTAAATTTATAAAATTTTATGCAATTATTGCAAATAACATCAAAGTAAACGAAATAAATTACAAGCTTATTGCTATATTTTCAGTCTTAGGGAGTGTTAAAAAATACTTGTTTTCATTTGTAATTTATTGTTTGGTCCGTCAAACATGTGAAAGCTTTAAAATTTATTGATAAGTGTTGATCACATGATATAAACATCGTTAAAGTTATAAAATAATATTTCTTGAGAAATATAAGAAAGTCAAAAACTCTAAGTATCTTTTCTATTATTGTAGGGTAGGTATTTTATTATCAGTATTAGTTAAGCTTATTGAGTTTATATTATTAATATGCAAAGATTTAACTTTGAATTTTTATTTATGTATTTTTTAGATATCAAAAGACAACCAACACATATGCTCCTTACAACAAAGATTGGATCAAGGACAAAATATACATTTTACTTAGGCGCCAAGCTTCTAAGAGTGCATAAGTTTCTTGTGCTTATCTCTTACTGCGGTTTATATTGACATAAAAATCATTTTTCTTTTTGTTTATAGTATATCTGTTTATTTCTTAAAATCATTTTAACATAAGAGGTATGGATATTGGATTTGTTTACAAAATACTTGCATGGACATTATTTATTGAGGTGTTGTTTTGTTAAAGATTTCAACAATATTGTACAACCACCTATTGAATATATTTTTCCTTTTGTAAGCAAATCAATTTCTTATTATTTTTTTTAATCTAAAGTTCCTAATATTGTGATCAATAAAAAAAATATCTATTTTTATCGACTACGATGTCAATTTTTTGAAAAAAAAATATTTTAAGATATTGTTAGTTTTTAAATAAGGATGACAGTATTAAATAAATAATCTTATATATAGAGTGCTTATTGTTTCAAGAAGTTTTGATTATTCACTTAAGATTTTTAATTTATATTTATAGTTTTTATAGTTTTATTTTTGTCTTCAAATTTAGTGTTATGATGCTATGCAGTCCATTTGCAACTTATGCACACACTCTTAAAGTATAAACTTCAATATTTTAAAAGTATTATAAATTGACAATACTTTATTGACAATATAAATTTATACAATGCTGTAAAAAGAAATAAATTTTTTTAAATTAAAAAATTTAGTATCCATACCTCTTGTAAGTTCTCTTTGGATTCATTTTCATGAAAAGAGAATATGTCATAAAGCAGTAGACTTTTTGTAATGGTGAAAAAATGTTTTTAATGTTAAAAGTCATAAATTGTACATATTTGCTCTCAAGAAATAAATCAACAAAGATAAGTCATTGTTTATTTTTTGTATATGAATCTTGTCTCTAAATTGTTATTTTATTGCAACAGTTTTAATAATTTTTCGTAAATACTACCTTATTTTATTAATTTGTCATATACAATTTTCTGAGATCTATATTGATGAAAACATTTATATTTCCCATTCATAAAATTTTTTTTTATTTGTTACATATTATAATGCAAATATTTTTTTTATAAAAAAATATAAAAATTAATTTTAATAAGNTTAGTGTTAGCAGGTTTCTTTGAAATCTTTTTGCCTTTAAAACAGGAAGCGAAGCTTTAATTGAAATTATATATGCTATCGATCTGAAAAGATTTCTCTGGACTTCGCTTAATATTTTTTAAAAAAAGGCTTGAATTTTACACTAAATTAGCTTTTATTGACATTTCGCAGTTTTTTTTTAATATTAGTGCAATGGATCTTGGCTAAAAAAAGATGAAACTTAATCAAATGGTTTAGATTAATTGTTACTAACTATATAAATAGCTTGTATTCATTAAAGAGCATTATTACTTATATTGGCAGAGCGTTTGAAGAACAGCTTTAATATTCACACAGAATATTATACAAGTTATTAAATTTTCAGATATATTTTTTAATAAGGGATAAATTATAGAAAAGTTCTTACATGTTTCATAAAAAGTATCATGCAATTTTTTAAAAAAGAATTTGAGACTAGATTTAAAAATTTATTAGTCATTGATTTAAATTATTAACATACACTACTTTATGCTTGTTGATCGTTGTGCATTACTTGCATCACTTGTTGCCTTCATAAATTTTTAAAAAAAAGCAGTTACAATGTTTTATTTGTGAATTCTATTCATAGCTATCATGCACAAAGTGTATTTTTTTAATATCCTCTACATTGTCCTCCAAAAACTAAGGTTCAAGTTTTGTGTGTCTAATTTAAAATAAATGAATATGGAAACAAGAAATAACTAAAACGATCTTTTGTAACTGCATCATAGAAATTTACGTAAACTTAAACATAGTCACGATTTTTTTAAAAAAAAAGAAAAAAAAAGCAGACTTGGCAGAAAAGTATCTTTACAAGCACAATTTTATGCGACAGATTGTCAACAAATAATTACAAAAATAGATTATAGTTGGGAATGTGTCACCCTTAATTGTTATGCATTGGTTACATTGACTTTCACTTGTTGAACCAATTAAGTTACAGGGTTTAAGGTGCTGTTAATTAAGTTACAGGGGTCGAAATGGAAATCAAAGACCAAACACGAAGATTTAGCTCATTTAAAAACCCTGTAAAACTAATTGCGGCAGCTCTACTGTTGAGGTAGTCTCAAACATTCTTTATCGGATTCAGGTTTGAATGGCCAATATCTTCATATTCCAGAAAGTCCTTGGAATAATGAGATCTATGCGGCTCTGTGCTGTTGTCCATTAAAATGAAATTTGAACCAACTGAATCAAATCTTAAGAAAAGCACACGCAAATCTAAAAAACGCATCTCTTAGCTGAAATCAATAACTGTATCACTTTAAATAACATTTGGAATCATGCAGCCATCATGAGTACACAATTTGCATTTATAAGTATTAAGTATGTAGATAAATGAATCAGAAACCAGCAGTAAACGCCAAGGTGTTGGACATCTATGCATCATCAAAGAAAATGGTTGCTTGAGACTGCCCTGCTAACTGTATAGCAAAATCTGTGTCAGACAGTGTCTCAGCTTAGAATTCAATACAATGCAGGTCCAGGTGTAAGTGTTTTAAAACACACAGTTCAATGAAAACTTTAGATATGGGACTGGGCGGCAGACGTTTCACTTTAGTGCTTCTGTTGACCAAGCATCATTCTCAACTACAGCTATTTTGATGGCCAAAGATTGTGCGATGTATTTTTTAGTAGATGGTCATAGTGTTTTGGCTCTTTAGTGTAAAAGTCTTTTATCTAAAAATAAATTTAGGCAAAAAATGGTAAAATTTTTTCAGTTTTTAGTAAAAGAAATAGAATATTGATTGAAGTGTGAGTACTTTAAATTACATATTAAAAATCAAACGTTAAAATCATAAAACAAACCATTATATTGCTCGAAATTGAATAAATATTGGGTTAATGCGAAAGTTCCCGTGTTTTTTTTATTAAATTTTTTTGTAACTTTATTTTTTGAGATAAAATAGCAGCAATTTAATCAATGTAATCTCCGTTGTTGTTCACGAGATCCTCCCAACGTTCAACGAGTTTTTCGATGCCTCTCCGGTAGAAATCACCAGGAAGCGTCTCGAAAAGTCATCCAACCAAGCCCGTAATTCGACGTCATTATTGAACGAAACGCCGAGTAAAACATTTGAAATCGAACGGCACAAATCTCTCTATCAGCTTCTGTGGTTTTGGTATCTCGATTAAACGCAAAAAGAAGGTGTCGGAAATGCTCGTTTTTGTCGACATGACACTCCATTTAAATGCTCTAAAAAGTAACCAAAATTAAAGTCAACAAAAAAGTGAAATACACTATTCTATGGAGCGAAAAATTCTCTTTCAAATAACACAAAAGATTATGCCAATACACTTCCTTTACAACGCAATTTTTTTAAATTACAAAAAAAAAAAAAAGGAAACAAACGCGGGAACTTATGCATCAACCATCAACCCAAAACTAAAATACAAATCCATCCAATACAAAAACTAAACATTTTGAGTACGAAATTGATGTTTCTTAACCATTACGCAAATTCAAGCACAAATAAGTCTTACAAAAAAGAAGTGCACCTGACAGAAAAGTTATTTTTTAAAGATAACATTACGTCTCAGTTTTTTGTAGGAAGTTCCTACGGAAACAATGAAAAAATGGGTTCAAGTAGAGAATGTATTCGCCTCTAACTGACATTGGAGGCATTAGCTTTCAATGCTTGACCAACTAAGTTGTTAGTTACTAAATTGGGGAATGAAAATAAATCTAATTAATCCTAGTAAAAACCATGGATGAAGGCTTTGAGTGGCAATTTGGTTTCATCAGACATTATCTATCAGATTCAGGTTTTGAAATCTGGCTGACCAATGAATATGGCAAATATTTTCATATTCTCAGAAATTCTCTGCACGATGAAGTCTATGTGGCTGTGTGCTTACATCCATTAAAATGTTATCAGAATCCACTGTATCCCTGGACCAGAGGATCTTTACTGTAAGTATGCTGGTAATCTTGCCTCCTTCAGAGAGATGCGCAGCAACACTCCATGATTGTTCTCCAGATCGTTTAACTTTCGCTATGAGGGCTAATTTCTCTGATATTAGAGGGCAGGGGGTGTGTTACCGGTTGACCCGGTAGAAGAATTAACAGAGTTAATCTGCATCTTTGACTATTATTTAAAAAAAAAAATTAGGCTTAATTTAACTTGTGTATAGCAAAAGTAGCACAAAAAATACTGAAAATGTATTGTTTAAATATAAATTTTTATACGCTTTGAAATAAATATACATTTTTATACTTTGAAATAATGGAATGAATTTCTGTTCAGTCTTATAAACAAACTCAAGTTTTTTAATATTAAGATTTTTTTAAAACATTTTTCTTGTCTTTTACAAATTTTTTATTTTTCAAAATTCCAGTTAATTTAGAGCATTATTTGAAATTTTTGAAAGTCCCTTTGTCGAATGGCAGTTTGGCAAACAATTTTATTAAGTACCCGAAACAAATATTAATTAAGGTAATTAGTAAGTAGGATAAATAGTAATAAATAAGTTAAGGAATTAAAAATTATTCCTGATACTGTAATTTTTTTATAAATGAAATCTTAGACAAAAAATAATTTTTAGATGCTGTGATATTCTGCAGCGTCCGCTGCCATGCTGGTTGACCCTTTTAAATAGAAAGATTCAGTAATCCTTTAAATGTTCAGTAATCCAATCTTAGAAATCAATTATTATAGAAGTGAAAGATTAATGCTCTGTCAAGTTATATTGGATTCGCCATCCTCAGCCATTGATTGAATCATTCATTATTCCAATCTTTTTACTTAGGAAGGGACACTGTTACTCATATGAATTAAGAGACGTGTTTACACTATATTCGCTTTTTTAGGCTCTCAATTGGATTTTATTTTATGGAATGGCATCGCATGATAGCATCGTGCTTTTCGATTTGGAGAATTTTCTGGATTGTGAAGGTATTTGTCGAATGGATTGGCTAGCCATATTTCCAGGCCTTAATTCGGTAAGGAAGGTTTAGTATTATCTTGACAAACAAGTTGAATGCATCTTTGAGCTCTCCTCCATGGTTATTACATGTACAACGACATTAAATATTCCGTACCTTCCCAGTTTGGTGAAAGTCAATTTAGTTGGTATCAAGTCTATTGCATCAATGGATTGCACTTGGGAGCCGGCGCATTTCTTATTAGAACCCATTGTAATTTTTCTGCAACACTTTTCGGCATAATAATTAGAATGTAGTGTTTTCTTTGTGATTGAACTTTGTTGTCAAGTATGCTTTTTTTGTAAATCATAGTTTTGATTGAATTAACGTGAATTTCCTTGTGGTAATCCAAAAGAACTATCCCAAATTAGAAAAAGCCGCAGTGATCGCGGAAGTATCTCAAGAGAGAGAGAGAGGGGGGGGGTTCCTTTCCTCCCTGTTTTTATATAGATATAGCTTGTTTATTTTTATGATATAAAGTCAATTAAGTCAGAAAAATAGTGGTATCAAGGAGCACCAACCTCGGATTAAAATTCTTGGCCAGCAAACAACTGCTCTTTGCGGATATCTTGCTTAAAAATCTATACTATCTTACTAAATATTTTGAATTAATTTATCTAATCTAATGCCTGCCTGATTGAATCTGAACACATAACCATTTCAGCGGTGCTTAAACTTTAAAGACACCATTTTTACATATTAATTTCATTTGTTTTTGTTACGTTTTTTTAAAAAAAAAGAAGCTAATTTTAGTGGCGGCAAATGAAATACTGATTCAATTTAAAATTTTTTTTTCCTTCGCAGCTATGTACCTTTAGTG